GCTGCAAAGGCGTCGCTGAGGAGCCCGGCCGGCCTGCTGGTACCCCTGCGACATCAGTGGGGTTCCTCGTCCCCAAAGCCCGGCGGGGTGAAGTGGAAGCGGTTTGCGCTCAAGTGACTTCCGCTCGCTGCAGCCTGATCCTGGGGTTTTGTTTTCTGGATACAATCTGAGCAGTTCTGAGCGCTCTTAGCAGATTTCTATCTAGGTTTGTAAAAAGGACCCATTACGTCAGTGGGTGACACTGAAACACAACTCCTCCAGGGCTATTTGTTTTAACACCAGAAATGAAGGAATAAGGTACAAGCATTTTTGCTTTAATTAGAAGGACTCCAGCCACCGAGGAGCAGTCCAGTTCGAGTAACTTGAGTCTGGCACTGAACTCGCTCCCCTCTGCGTGTTCCCAGGGCTGCCCCTGCCGCCGGTCGCCCTCGCCTCCCTCCACCTGCAACAATAGCTGGTTGTGCAGAAGAATTTGTGAAATGATGGCCTGCTCCCTCCAGCCAGGAGGACGCGTTATCTCTGCCCAGTTGATCACACTCAGGGTAATGAGAAAATGAGGCTGAGCTTAGCATTGCTGAGTATGAAAGCATCTTCTTGGCAGGGGCTGAATGACACTGGCTGAGAAGGAAAAGACAGTAGATTATTGTTTTTGCTTATTATCTGCCATCAGCCTCCTGGTCTCCTGCCGTCCCCTGTCCTCAGTATTCGCTGTGGGTGTCTGCCCTAGCCAGGAAGCGGTGGGGGGGTGGGGGGTGTGTGTGCGGGGAGGGACGGACGGTTCAGATGCCCTAGGGAGGCACCGGAGGGTTTGCTAATCTGTTGGCGCTTGGAGCTTGGGGAGGGAGGTTTATTTTTGAGTTTATTTGTGCTCTTCACTTTTGCCTCTGTTTACTTACGTGCCGAGTTTATTTATGTTGTAGGCTGTGAGTCAGGCTGGAGGTGGGGAAGGCAGGGAGAGAAGCTGGTGGAAGGGTGTGGGGAGGCCGAGCTCTGGGGCTGTGTGACAAGTGAAAGGACGCGGGACGGGAGGGCGGCCAGGCTGGAAAGCTGAACAAAGCAGCGAGAGGAGCTGGAGAAACACGGCTTCCTTTTGGGCCAGTTGAGCTGCCGGGCTGATGGGACGACGCGCTGGGCTGCCCTCCCATCCGCAGCTTATCCAAGTGCGGGGATGAGCCAGACCTGCCTTTACCACAGGTCTTTGTAAGCTGATTTGTAGGTCTGGATCATCCCCGATGTGATGTAACTTTACAGGAGTCGCTGTAAAAATAGGCTGTAAAGAAAGAGGTGGTGGCCGAGGAGGAGAGGAGGCTTCGTGGGTGTTTGGCTTGCAGCTGCGTCGGTGCTGTCCTGGCGTTTGTGGCGGTGCGAGGCCGGCGCAGGCGGGCGCTGGCCGGTGCTGAGCCCAGCAGAACGGTGGCACCTGGACGGCTGGGCGGGGCTGGGAGGGGCTTTGGGCCCCTCCGTTTAACCTGTGCCCTCCTGTCCGCTCTGTTATGTCTTCACCCTGTGTTTTGTGGGATGAAATGTTTGGCTTTTTGTGCGCTGCTTCTTTGCTGTCCTCTTGCTACCCAGGTGAGCTCTGTGTTTGTAGGTAGAGGGGGAGAGCAAAAAGGCAAAAGAAGGCGCGTTTGGTAGGGAGGGCACCCAGGGGCAGGCCGAGCGGGAGGGTGCAGCCCAGCCTGGTAATCCCAGCATGTGATGGGCTCTCGGGTGCGTCTGGCCAGCGCTCAGCCGGAGACAGACCACTGCATGCTGGGACTTGTAGTCTCCCTGGATTACACCTTACCGAGAGGGAAAGATGTCTGCAGCCAGCTGCGTTTCATGCACCTCAGGTAGATTCTTTGGGTTTTTAGCGAGGCGGCACGTGGGCATGGAGCAAACCCTGCGTTTGTAAATTGGCAGGAAAAGCGTGTTCACCTGTTCTTCCCCACGTCTCTTTCAGATTGACCCAAAGGTAGCGTTCCCCCGCCGAGCACAGCCCAAGGTAAGCACTGCGGGCAGCCCTTGCCACTCCGAAGGGTGAAATTCATGGCGGTGGACGTTGTCCCTCGGTGCAGGGCCGCCAGTGCGTGCAACGGAGCCGCTCCCTGGGGTTTCCTCAGGACTCACCTGGAGCGGGAGCCGCCGGCCGGCACGC